AGATTTGATTATGCTTTGGAATCAAAATGTTTTCAGTAGCAGCATAGCTCATTTATAACTAAATCTCACTCTATGTGCTGTATCGCTGGAATATACTTGGTTGAAGATTCATTTTTGGCACTTATCATAGCATCCTTTTTGGTATTATCATCAACATTCCTGCTTTCTCCTCAGTTACCTGGTAAGGTCCTTGAGGGAAGAAATCATGTATTTTTGTCTCTGAAAGACCCAAGGCACATAAGCACCTTATTGCCATATACAAAGTAGTTCTCCATAGATGTTTGCTGTTTCGTATGCGGTACTGAGGAATGCTCATATCTGGATGAATCCTACAACACACAATAGGTGCCCCCTTGGGCCTTGGCTTAGGAGCTTAGTTGCTCCATTCCATTTCCTCTAAGCAAAGTCCTGATTTAAATTTATTTCTCACCAGAGCAAGAGACATTCTGTTCATATCTCTCCAAAGAAATGAACTCATTCCTGTCTCTAAAGTAAACTTACGTCACCCATATTTGAAGATATGGGCTCTTCTTATGCAAGTAGTGAATGAGGCTTTATCTGTAAATCACTTGACTGCAGCCTTTTGAAAACTTGGCAAAGGCAGTTTTATATGGAACTACAGATAAAAGTGGTACCAAAGGTCAACAAAACCGAGGATTAAACTTTGTTCCTTTCCCGTAGCAACTACATAAAAATGCACACACAATATATCCCGTCATCGCCAAGTCAAAACTTGATTGATCTAGGGTAATTAAATCATATAGTTAGCAAGTCCACTCCTTGGTTCTCTGACCCTTGGTCTGAAGTTCACAGAGATAACATATCTGAATCCCAATGTGACCATAAACACAAAGATCTCTATCACAGGGCTGACGGAGAGAACAGGTTTCCACATTCCAAGTCCATCAAGCATGTGCCTTTGTTGTAGAAGATATTCGAGCAATAAAAATTCAAATTTTCCCACTATCCCTAAAGCACACAGCTGTGAAAACATCCTCCTTTATGGAACATATCAGTTGATAATATTCCAAAAAAAAATTATGTGATCATTTGTTACTCTTTTCTCATTCTGTGCTTCAGTTTCCCCAGAAACAGGAAGGAGCCCCATAGGGCACTAGGGAGAGATGGGCAATCAGGGGAAGAAAATCTTTGGTGTGCCCAAACCAAAGCAAGAGGAATGGAGATGATGAAGGAGAAGGAAGCAGAAGCAATATACCTCCAAAAGTGACACAACACGCTACCAATATGATATGCTAACTAATATACCCAAAGACATGAACATCTTTTGAACAGAAATACATCTGATTTTATTATGAAATTAATATAAGTTAGACAGATGGGCAAACTGGTTAAATGCTAAGGTTTTAGAATTAGGCCTGAGTTTAAATGCTGGCTCTGCCTTTAACAGCTGTGTGACAGGAAAGGTCTTTAAACCTCTCTTGAGTCTTATCTGCCAAAAGAAAATTGCCTACCTACCCTAAGAGGTTAGACAGGGATTAAAGGAGATAATATATGTTGACACTTCCACGCAAAAAAGAGAGAGAGAGATAGAGATGGGAAGAAAAAGGTTATTATTAGCAGAAAAGTGGGACTGTGTATACCAAAATTACTGCTTATAGGCAACTTCTAATAAATAGTAATAAAGTGAGAAGTATATTCTATAAACACACTAGAACTTTTCTGCCCACCACATATAAAAATATGTGTATTAAGTTTTCTATCTTGCCTGTGATCACACAGGTCATTTTTACTATAAAGATGAGTTGTACCTTGGAAGAAAGCAAAGACTAAAAGTCGGTCAAACATATGTTTGTTTTCATGTTAATTATAGTAGAAGCTAATAGACGAACATGTAAAGGTAAAATACTCCCATAAGTATTTTTAGGGAGCCCTTCATTAAAAGAACAAATTAAACAGCAAATGAAAGTTACAGGAAATCTTTGGGTTAAAGAAAAGAACCACACTCAACTAATCAAAGCTGTGCAATAAAGGAGCAAATTAACTTGTATGACAATGAGTTGTGTGGGGTTAGATATTAAACAAGTCAAGGATAGAAGTCTACTTTGATGAAATATTCTATAAATACAGCTGAGGGACTTTGCAACTAGAATGATAGAACATTAAAAATTCCTTTCAGGGGCGCCTGAGTGGCTCAGTTGGTTAAGCATCTGCCTTCAGCTCAGGTCATGATCCCAGGGTACTGGGATCAAGTCCCGCATCGGGCTCAGTGGGGAGACTGCTTCTCCCTTTCCCCGCTCTTGCGTGCTCTCTTTTTCTCTCTCAATCCCTCTCAAGTAAATAAATAAAATAAATAAATAAATAAATAAATAAATAAATAAATAAATAAATAAAAATTCCTTCCCATTTTAAGATTTTATAATCTTTGAACACTATAATGTATAACCAACTCTCTAGTGTCCACGGTAGGATAAAGTTCACCTCTAACGTGGTCCCTAATAAGAGAAGGGTCTCCAAATTCAGGTAAGAGACACATTCACCACTCAATTCAAATATGAGAGAAGTTAAATTAATAGATCTTGTGACCTCCCCCTGCCCCCAAAACATGTCCCGTTTTCCTCTCTTTTGACTGTTTTTTCCCCTAGATGCCTTGCTTATAATCTATTCAATATAATTCCATAAATATTTACTGACTTCTAGAAATCTATCTCAAAGAAACAAACTGCAATTCAGATCTATATACCAAGAATGTTTACTACAGTATTATTTTAATATAAAAAATGTCCTCCAAGGGGAGAATAATTAAACTATAACACATTTATAAAAAAGAAATGTTGGGCAGCTATTAAATGGTGTTTTCAAATAATATTCAATGACATGGGAAATACAATTTTAAGTGAAATTGTGATATAAAATGACAAATTCAGCATGATTCTAAATGCAGAGTGAATGTGTATCATATATATGTTTACACCAGAAGGAAATACATGGCAAAATGTCAACAAAAGTGGTGGAATTGTTAGTTTTCTTCTTTGTAACTCTGTCTTCCAAACTATCTAAAATAATCATATTTTCATTTTATGACTGTAAAAAAGAAATACTATTTTAAAAAATATTAAAAAAATGTTTTTAAGTTATAGTTATCTTGGATCTGTAACTCTGAAAGCAACAACAATTCCTTTAAAAGAGGAAGCCCGGTATAAAAAAATAAGTTTGCATCTGACCTTATGTTTGAGATGGTTGCTATGCACTGTGCTGTCTTTAAATTAATCAGTAAACAAGGAACAGCTGGGACAATATCAGTTTTATTGAGGATGTGGAACAGGAACTCCCATACATAGCTAGAAAGGATGTAAATCAGCATAGTCACTTTGAAGAATAATTTGACAATATCTAGTAAAGCTGAAAATATCTGTCCCTTACTAAACAGCAATTTATTCCTAGTTACATACCCTAAAGAAAACTATCATACATGTGCACAAGGAGACATGTACAAGCATGCCCTGCTTAAGAGTGAGAAAATTTGAAAGAAACATTAAGGACAGTGGATAAATAAACTGTGAAACAGTCATTCAACAGAATACAATACAGCAGTGAAAATGAGGCATATATCAACATGGGTAAACCTCAAAAGTATAAACCAAAAAAAAAAAAAAAAAGAGGAGGAGGAGGAAGAAGAAAAGTTATAGTAGTCTATATAAAGGATACATACAATAGAATTCCATTTATATAAAGTCAAAACACCTAAAAAATATTAGATACTGTTTAGAGTTATATAAAGATGTAGTAGAAGGCAAAGCCATGAAAAAAAATGCCTGGGCATGATGAACACCAAAAAAAATTTTTAGGTAGCAGCAGGCAATCTCTGTTGAGGACAAGGCTCTATATCCACAGCAGTAATTCTTAAACTCTTTTAGGTCTGAGACCCCTTTGCAAACCTGATGGAAGCTATGGTTCTGCTTCCCACAAAGGTTTATGACACCACCACAAATCCATCCTTGGCCACCTTAGCAGCCATTCAAGAAAACATACACTATTTTTTTTTAAGATTTTATTTATTTATTTGACAGAGAAAGAGAGAGCCAGAGAGCACAAGCGGAGCAAACAGCAGAAGAGGCTGGAGAAGCAGGCTCCACGCTGAGCAGGGAGCCCGACTCGGGGCTCAATCCCAGGACCCTGGGACCATGACCCAAGCCAAAAGCAGATGCTTAACCAACTGAACCACCCAGGTGCCCCGAAAACATACACTCTTTAGCCACGTGGTGCCAAGGTAATTTCTACTCATGCTGAATTAGCAAAACTAGACAATTGTAGACAATTAGGGAGGGAGTGATGCACTGGCTGGCTGCTCAGAAAGATAGCCTGTGACAAAAACAAGACTTCCACTGAGGAAAGACAAGCAGAGTGTTTGACAACTAGTGAGAAGCCTAAAAATCCAGTGATATGCATGCAACTGAATGTCTTCAAAACTAACTTAAAAGGTTTGAGAAGCATTAAAAGCAATGTTCTTATACTCAATTAATTGAGCTTTGGTGCAAAACCAAAGTTTTAAGTTAAGCAGTGACTGATAATGATAAGCAGAGTGAGATTTTTGTTCATATTTCTCACAACTTTTCTCTGTTCGCACTCCTTGTTTAATAACATTTAATTTAGTTAATTTTTATGCTAATATTTGGCTAAGGTTTATGCTTACCTTTTCCAATAAAGCACTGCAGTATTTTCGGAAAGTCCAGATGAATGGAAAAATATGTCACTTTTGGTTAGTGACTCCGTGAACTAAAGCTAAGGAAAATGGCTGTTGACACCACGAAACCTATACTGCGAGCAACAGCTGATGGAACCTAAATTGCCGGCTAAGTACCTAAGAAGGGCACAGTATCTTTTGAAGGTGAGGCTTAAAAACTCAAACTTATGAAGGGGCAGTAAATACTGTAATTCAACATGCATGTGGAAGTCTTTAACCGATTTAATTATCACAGACGAGTTTTCCCCCCTGGAAATTCTAGATCTGTAATACACAAAACCTTCCCAGAAATACCAACCTTGTGAGCTTAACAACGTATGCCTTGTGGAATCTCCAGTTTCTTTGTTACCATCTTTCATCACCTCCGTGTCTTCCATCTTTATATCCCAATCCAAATCTTGTCCCTCTGTCCTGTTATCTCCCCCTACTCTATCTTCTACACTTGCCTCTCTACTCTTGGGGACACATACGCTGCCTCTCAGAAAAAGAAGAGCCACCTGCAGAACTGGGGATCTGGAGGAACAATAGTGGGCTAGTTCAAGAAGACAGCGCCATCTCATTCTTTTCTCTCCTGACAATGTCCTTCCCTGCCATCCATCTTTCTAATAGTGTCTTTTGTGAAATCTATTCTGAATGAAGCCAGTATTAATTATAAAGGCACAGCTTCCTAAGACTAAGAACTTTATATAAAACAAACAATAACAAAGAAAATCGTGCTGCTTAATAAAACTGTAAAGCACATACTGGTTTTCGTTCTGCCCTAGGGTGGGGAGGGGATTTGGAAGCCTGTCTGGCTGTCACAGAGACTGGGGGCACTACTGGCATTCAGTGGAAAGGGATGCTAATCATCCTCCAATAAACAGGGCAGTCCCACACAATGAAGACTGGTCTACCCAAAATGCCAGTATTCCCCTCAACCCACTCTCCCACTTTGTTATGAAACTGGACCATAGGCATTCACTGAGCAGATAGCTCCAGCTAATTTCAATAGATATTTAGCTAATTCAGACAATTCCTGGCTTTTAGGAATATATAAAATTGGCCATTGGGTTGTCCAAATTCCTAATGCCACACAGAATTCTGGGAAGGGGGAGGTTGGTGGTGGCATAAGCGGCAGCCTGCTGTATTACCTCCCAGTGTTTGCAAATCCTAATTAAAATAACTATGTTTTGAGTTTGATACCATTATGTTTTAGGAACTTCTTCACTTGTACTTGATGCAGCACTTTGATGAGCCAAAACAGCTACAGGGGCCATTTTTCCCTGAAAATGAGTCAAGGCGGTTACACAACCCTCCACAGGGATCAGCACACAACAGCCTGCGAGGGAGTGCGGGAGGAGACCAGTAAACATCTCTCCCCTTCCTCGGTTCATGTTCCAGCTCAGATTCCTCTTGACAAAACAAACATGGCTTTTATATCATACTAATTCTTTTGTAGCAAACAACTCATTCTCACATTCCTTCTCTAGCTTATTTTCCCCTATAATTCTTTACCCTTTGCCCGCAGTCCCTCCTCCCCACCATGTTGTACTATTTGTATGGAAAAAAAATTTTGAGAGTTGCTTCTTGCCAAGTGTGACATCAACTCATTCTTATTTAGTGATGTCCAGCAAGAACTTGCTCTCCCAAAATGTTTGCTCATTTTGAAGCAACAAGATTACTAACTGCAGTTTGTTTTTCCTGTCACTTGTTTTTAATGCATTAGTGTATCTTCTGAAATAAGTAACACTGCACCTCATTTCTACCACCCAAGGCACTATACATGTATACAAAGATCTCTTCAAATGCCTTCAGGAAGACTTGTATTGCCCCTGTTGCCAGAAAGAAAAAAGATAACATAAGGAGAGAAATTAATAATTTTAACCTCCCTAAAAAAGGTACCTCTGCTTTCACTAACAAGAAGGAGCTATCAATATTGTAGAAAATGCAAGCCCAAAATTCTATTCTAGGTGAAGAACTTTTGTTACTTAGGAAGGGGAAGAAAAATGAGTGACTCTTAAAATAGTATGACAGATATATTATGCTGCTTCATGTTTAACATCACTTTGGTAAAGCACTACTTGATGAATGATTTTGGAAAGCCAACAATTTTATTCCACACATAAAATAAGCTAAAATTCAGATTTTCAGTTAGCTTATTGGAAAAATTGGTGCTGGTATTCTTAAATATGTGTCCAACTATGAGGGAACTACTGAACTATGTCAGGTACTAATCCTCCCTCATGAAGTCTTCTCTAAAACCCTTTCCGTTCCATTCCTCAGTTAATTAAAAGGCACAAATGGAAACAATATTATTCCGTATTCACCTTCTTTCAGGGAACATTAGCAGCAAACTTACCTTAGTTATCAAAATGCAGAAGTTAATTCCCAGTGTGGGCTGGTCCTAGGCATAGGTAAGGATTCTAATTCCAGTATTTGCTGACCCAGGATAGCACTGAGAAACCTAATCACATACAAAAGGTTGTGTGATAATTCTAACATTTTCCTGGTTCATTTTCTAGGATGTCATGACATTTGGGGGCTTCCAGTGCTACCCTAGAGAAGTCGGTTTAGATCCAAAGCACCCAGACATACTTTCAGAAGGGTCACTCATGGCTCAGAAGTCTTTAGGTAGCTCTGTTTGGGGGGTTCCAAAGTCCTCAGAGATACTAGGTATCAAACTAGGAGAGGAACAAGAAAGTATATACCTTCTTAGGGAACTACAACTATTTAACAAAAATAGAAGTGCAAAAAATCTAGAGAGAAAAATAGGGAAATTGTGTTTGGGCTTCTGGGGTGTGTACACGTGCATGCATGTGTGTGCGTGTGTTAAGTCAGCCTGAAAAAGACAAAGGAAAGGCCTTGAAAGTTGTAATTATAGAAAATTGCTCAGGTGACTTCATCCCACCCACATGCTTTTGATTTTCAAAAAGTATGACGAGCACTTTTTAAGTTAGTGTTCCGGAAAGGCTGCAGCTGTTCAGCACAGATTTCACATGCTCACTTAAGAACATTATTTTATCAACATAGAGGTTAATGGCTTCTAAATGAGGGTAGCAATTTCCAACATGAGGACCATACATTCATATTAACAATCACTCTGTTTAAAGATACAGACCCAGAAGGATGAACTGGTCCTTGGCATGTTCGGTAAAATAATACTGTGGAGATCCATAATCCTCTCAGCTCCCACCCAAGATTGTTAGCTTGCCTTTTATAAAACATTGCATCTGTGTTTGAGCACATCAGCATAGAGGCATCTGCCATGACTATAATACTGCATTCAATGGATCCACAGCAAATCAAGTCAGGAGAACAAACTTTGCTAAACACCAGCCCCTTCTACTTTGTACCACACTCCCCACCTCACTCCATCCCCAGCACCATCTTCTTAAGAGTTCTCCATGACAAGAAAACTATAATGGTGCTAGGCCAGGGAATGTTCAGTGTGCAGCACCGAAATGACTCCGACTACCAGCTACGGTTGTGCAGGGTCAATTTAAAAAATTAATGTCCTGTCAAAACTAATAAAAGGAAACCTAATTTAAAATTAGGTTGATTGAGCCTGGCTGGCTCAATCGTTAGAGCATGTGACTCTTGATCTGAGTCCTGAGTTCAAGCCCCACATTGGGCAAAGAACTTCTATTAAAAAATAAAATAAAATGGAATGGAATGAGAAGGCCAGAAGGGGGATCTCTGACACCCTACCATTGTCAACTGCAGGTCCCAACAGGAAGAGACATACCTTGCAACTCCCATAGGAAGAAAACTACCTTACTACCCCACAGGAGGAAGATTTTTCTCCTTGCCTGCAATAGCCCACCCTGTGACTGTCATAACTCAGCCAATGAAAAGCTGCTACACTTCAAACTCCCAGTTTACTCCAATGGACTTTTTAACAGCCCTCTCCACTCCCCCTCTCCTTTCCACTATAAAAGAGCAGTCCTCTCCTTTGTTCTCCCCGGCCTGCCTCGGGTTTTGCCATAGCTTGCTAGTCCCAAATTGCAATTCTTTAATATTCTTGAATAAAACCATTTTTGCTGGTAAAATAACTGACAAGTTTTAAGGTTAACACTCCCTTCCCAATTCTGCCATTTTGCCACTCCTCCCAGCAAGCAGCCCTATAGCTCTTTTCCCTTTCCTTTATTTCCTGCACCCAGCCTGCCAAGTCCTGTCATTTCTTCCTTGAAAATGTGTCAGATTTGTTCTTCCTTCCACTGTCCCCATACCAATCCAGACTTTCATCAGCTCATCACTAGAAAATTACAGCAGCCTCCTAACTGGTGTGCCCATCTCTGGCTACTGTCATACCAATCATCAAAAAAACATCACAGCTTTCAAACGTGTCAATACTCTGCTCCCTATTACAACAAACATAAAGCTATAATTGCTTCCTACAGCATCACCTCCAAATTCCTTTCCTTGGCTTTTAAGAGCATCTATGATCCGGCCACAATTTCGCTTTCTGAAATTACTTCTTACTCCTCCTCAAGATGCACCCCTCTCTTTGGTCAAGCAGCTTCTCACTGTCTCCACCCCAACTCCCCAAGAGCAGCCTGCTCAGGTCCACTCTGCTCCTACTATCCTCCTCCCTAGCAATTCCTTCCTCCACCCCTCCTGATCCAAGCCAACACATCCCATCAAACTCCTGGCTGTTCCTTTAGGCTCAGCTCAATTAATAATTCCTCTACATGGTTGTTTTCTAGGACTATGGCCCACCTCTTCCAGGGTGATGAAAAGAACTGAGTCTTTGGACTATGACAGACCTGACTTTAAATCTCTGTGGGAGCTGAATAAGTTGTCTAAGCTCTATCACTGTTATAGGGAAGCATTCTTACCTATAAAACGAGGATGATTAATACTTCCTCTATAGGATTGTTTGGAAGACTAAAAAAGAAACTGCACGGACAGCAACTAGTGTAGCACTTGGTACACGGTAAACAGGCATTCAACAAATGATAGGTATTATAACATCGTATAAGCACTATGCTTCTACAATCCTAGGCCTTATGTTAATTGTGATGTTTTGTTTTTTCTACAGGTTGTAAAACTCCTCAAGAGCAAAACTAGTGTCACATCCAATTGCATCTCACTTATTTAATAATTTCAATTCCCCGGAGAGTCAAGAAACAGAGAAAAACAAATGGCCTACAGGTCATCCAAATAGTTACTATAAATTCTATGCATTAATGCCTGTGTATTTTAGTAACAAGAAGCCCTTCAGACTGCCCCCAAAGGCCTACTGATTTTTCTTTTGGTTTCCAAGGAGACAGGAGCAAATTAGGAGGTGGCTGCTACTTTCCATCAGAAAAGGAAACCACACTATAGAAAAAAAACTATAAAAAGTAAACACACACACCTGATCTGTACAAAATTATAACAAAATAAAATCCAGCAGCCAAAGCCTCTGTTCTAATTAGGATATTAACAACTATTGTTTTAGAGATAAAAGTAGCCCTGATGTTAAAAAATACTGAGAGAAATGGGGTGCAGGGGTGGCTCAGTCAGTTAGGCCACCGAGAGTTTGGTTAATCTTGATTTTGGCTCAGGTCATGATCTCAGGGTTGTGAGATGGAGCCCCACAGTGGGCTCTGCACTGGGTGTGGAGCCTGCTTAAGATTCTCTCTCTCTCCCTCTGCCTCTCCCCCTCCTTCAAAAACAAAAATACTGAGAGAAATGTACAAAGTTAAAATGATAGTGGTCAAAGTCCAATGATCGTAATTGTTAAAGTTAGAAGGAATTTTTGCACAATTACAACAATTATTTGTTGAGCCCTTGATATATACAAAATACATGCTACACGTAAGCCATGCTGCTCACATAAACTAATCCTCCCCCTTTAACTCCCTGAGGTAGGTATTAGTATCCTTATTTAAGAGATGCAGAAAACAGGGCTCAGGGAGGTTAAATGACTTCCCAAGATCATATGGCCAATGTGTTACATTTTCTATCCCTGAATTAACTCCCTGTGCTATTTTCCCATTATGCCACACTGCTCCTCCATACTCCTGTGAATTGCAAGAATTAATTCTAAGTTATAAAAGAAGATCCTTCTGCTTAAACATATGTAGTAATGGAGAGTCTATTACTTTGCCAGACAGCACAGTGGTTATGAGTACAGACTTTTGAGGCCAGTCAGATCTAGGTTAAGAACAGCTATTTGGTTAGGGACTAAAAAATACCCCTATGAAAAGCCGGCTGCCAGGATTACATATGAGATGCTGCATGAAAAGTGCTTAGCTCATTGCTAATGTATTGTAATTGCTTAATAAATACCACCACTATAATGATTATTTATAGACAGTTCTTTATTCTTTACATCAAACAAAACTACCTCCCAATAACTTCTCCCCATTGGTCTCAATTCTGATCACTGGGACTTCCTAAAAGCAGATGTAATTCTATAGCCATTCAGCAGCCCTGTAATGTCAGAAGACAGATGATTGCTAAGTCATCTCTTCTCCAACCTAAAAATTCTTTCCTGCTTCAAGACCTCTTTACGTGACAAGGTTTCCAG